CTCAAAGCACCAGATTAAGTCATGTCGTCTCTGATCACCATTCCACACAGTCTACCTATGTCATCACTGAAGCATGTACTCCTTCTCAAAAGCCTTCTGAGAGTCTATCTCACGCTCATCTCTCTCTGACCATTCCCATCAGACAACAATTTTTTATCATTCTGTCAACTCTGCCCTACTGGGCCACCTGAGTCCCACTTCTGGGCTGAACTAAGAGACATATGCAGAACTTATTCCATCCATTTTAGTCCAGTTTCATATAGGCCCTCCCATTTGCTGACCAATCTTCCTGTTAATTCATCACTTATATAACTTTCAAACTTCCCTCACATATTATTTTAGAGTCTCGAATACATGCTACTCACAAATCCCCATTTATCTCTTTCCGGCTTCTTTTTCAATTTTGGTAGCTATTCATACAATAGAATTAAAGCTTTCATCTTCATTTCAACAGTATACAGTAGTATCCTATGTGCCTCTCATCCTTCCTTAGAAGCTCAAAAGAGAGAAAGAGTCCATATACTACTCCATGAAGCTAGCCTGTCCTACCTGTAACTTCTGATAAATGATTGTCCACTTTGTAAATACAAAATCTTTTATAATAGGTTAAATTTTTATTATTCAGTAACCTAGAACAATTTTTATTCAACTTAAAAACAACGCCTAGCATATGAATCAAGCAATAGACACCCTGTAATAATTTCTCAGTTTATAGGTCAGAAACCACATCTTTAGAATGCAACTTTTCTCTCTCCCTCTCCTTTTTGCCTCTCCCCCCCGGCTTCCTGGTTTGTTTTGGTTTGATTTGGTTTTTTGCAGTGCTGGAGACCAAAGCCCAGACCTCCACATTCTAGACAACTGCTACTCCAGCTGTTATTGTTACCACCCTCTGCCTCAACATAAACTCAGGCAATTCTGCCATCATATATGTAAACTTGTCAATGATTTCTTCATAACCAAATCCATTTAACTTCTCTCTGCAGAATTAAACATGAATGACCTACAGCTGAGAGTATAGTATAGCTCAGTCAGAGCAACAGCCTAACAGGTACTATCTTGGGTTCAAGCTCCAGCACCAAAAGAATAAAAATAAAAAAGAATGATTGTTTTCTACTTTTGTAGACTATCCAAGGCAATATTCTAAAGTATTATCCTAAAATTCTTTTTTTGTCTCTAGCCACTGCACTTCCAGGAAGTTCTTTCCTGGAACTTCTATTTCTTCCTTCAAGCTTTCTAGTGATAATTCTGTTTCTGCCTCTATTCACGACAAGTAACAATCACCATCAATGATTAACCTCTCATGGCAGGCTAACTCTCTTACCAGCCAACACTATTTCTCAAAGTAGGAGTCCTGCCCCATCATCAGAAACATTCCTGATAACCAAAGCCCAGAGCTCTCCAATCTCTGAATTTCTATTCATTCTACCTGTGATCTATAACATGGCAATGAACAAGGACTGTACAAGTACAGTATACTATCACTGGCAGCTACTATATGTGCATTCAGGTTGTTCTCTCTGACCAGACTGCAATTCCTTGAAGGCAATTCCTTGTTTTAGTCATCTCTCCAAAGGACCAAGTGCCAAAGCATAAAGCCATCACTTCATATATCTGCAAGTATCTTCTAACACTTTTGAAGTACCTGAAATACATAGTAAAAAATTTTCCAAATCCCAGAAACAGAACGCTATTTTACAAGATCTTAAAAAGAAATGTGTCAAAAGGTTACATGGATTAAAACTTTAAGAAATACTGGGTTAAACAAAGTTAACAGGTTTATATTTAGAAATCTCTAGAACTTTAATCTTGCTATTTGTGAATCTCCAACAGCAGAACTTCCCAAACCTTCCCACCTTCTATTAACTTCCCACCTTCCCTTGCTCAATACCAGGATCTATTAACTTCTCCCTTTTCAGAGAACACACTAGAGGAAATGCTTATTAAGTAATTAATTATTTTCTCTCACAACTTCTTTATATCTGGAATTATTTCTAAAGATATGTTAATAATACTGGTTTTATGACTCATCCTAGCAGCCTGTCTCGGCACCCTCAATTACCTCCCAAGCTATAAAACTTAATTAATTAATTAATAAGAAAAATAAGGATTCATTTCAGGATATTCTTAAGTTTCCTCACTATTTCTAAATAGAACTTCATTTACAAAATTCCATTTATATATTACATCAACTCAGAAGGCTATAACTCCATGTTTATAAAAACAACCATAAAAGCCATGAAAAGCCAGGGGTAGCTTAAGTGACCTGACACCCTCTCAGCAAAACCAAAGGTAATACAAATAAAAAGGACAAAGTATAATAACTTGGAAAGCTGGGTGTGGCACACATCTGTAATCCTAGCTACAGTACTTGGGAGGCTAAGACAGGAGAATGAAAATTCAAGAGTACTCTGGTAAACTTGGTGAGACCCTATCTCAAAAAGGGCTGCAGATATAGTAGCTCCAACCTAGAGTGCTTGCCTAGCATGTAAACAGCTCTGGGTTCAATCCCGAATATTGAAAATAATAATAATTTGTAAAACAGACACCCTATTCTTCTCTAGGAGCCTCACAATACTTAACCATTAAAAGCTCTCTCTTCCAAGCTGGGGATTTAGCTCAGTAGTTCCACCGTCTGCCTTGAAACCACAAGGTCCCGAGTTCGATGCCCAGTACCAAAAAAAAAAGCTCTCTTCAAATTAAAGGGAAAAAATTCCACATTTTAAATTAGTAAACATTGTAATAGTTTTATCAGTATATCTATTTAAAGGCCACTCACAAGAAGCTCCATCCTTACACTTCGGCTTCAATATGTTGTTACAATATTGAAACAAAATAATCTTTTACAAAAACCTGACTAAGCAGCAAGAAATCAGAAAGTAAGCCTCTAAATGCTCCCAACTACTGTCATTTCCACTGGATTTCTCTGCCTAGAAATTGTGTGTTTCAATGATTAAAATGTGAGAGGAATATAAAGACAAACTCTTAAGGGGGCACAGTGGTGAACACCTATAATACCAGCACTTGGGGGTGGGGGGCGTTGAAGGCCATCCTGGGCTAGGTAGCCAGACCCTGCTTCAAGAAAGAAAAAAAAAGAAGAAAGAAAAGAAAATCTCATCTTCTGTACAGTCAGCTTTCAAAATTTACATAACAGGGGAAATAAATTATGAACATTATTCCTGGAATCACACAAGAAAGTGGTTTGCATTAAAAGTGGGACCTTAGAAATCCCTCAGATTCTGTACTAACTTATTTTTTTATAAGACATTTTCTCACCAGTAAAACTGTTTAATGAGTACACTGTATTGGCTATGTGAAAAGTCCCACCATCTAGTCTCCACCCTAAAAGCCTCACCCTTATCTGAGTCTTTCCTAAACTAGATCTGATTTTATGTATATATATATATATCTTGGACTCTCTCGTTTCCTAGAACAAGATGAGGAAATGATCTGCAACCAGAATGTTAAGTACCTGACTAGGCACATGCCTCATCTTTCAATAACAAGACTTACCAAGTAAAGCACTCTGGAGACTAACCAGTGGAGAGTCACTGCTTCATAGTTCTAAATTATGTGAATTATGTGTTTTGCAAAACCATTCTAACGAGACAGAGCAAAAGTATAAATGATTCTCGAGTCAGCTCTAATAATTTCAGTAAGCTATTTATAGGTCTTTCTGTTTTTATGTGGGGTTTTTTTAACTACTCTAAATTTAAACCTGCTTATTTTCAGAAGCTAAAATGAACATAAAGTTAAATATAGGAAAAATACACACTAATGGGTACAATCCATCTCCTCAGTTCCTTCAGGTAACACGCTGCAGAGAATGTTCCACAAGTACCTTCAATTCTACCAAAATCCTACTTCTGTTTTTAAAGTGCTCTTTCTGCTGGGCATGGTGGTGCACACCTGTGATCCCAGCACTTAACAGGCTGAGGCAGGAGGATCCCTGTGCGTTTGAGGCTACCATGGGTTACATAGTGAGATCAAGGCCAGCCTGAATTATGTCAGGAGACTGTCTCAAAAAAAAAACCCAAAAAACCAAAAGAAAAGTGCTCTTTCTTCCAGGGATCCGGTTTGTTGTAAATTTTAAAAAGAAATGCAAGAATACAATTCTTATCGCTAAAGGATAAGTTAATTCCAACTATAGAGAGTATCGGTCACATCAGATAAAATTCTCACAATCTCAAAAGCTCACACTTTTAGGTAATAATAACTCTCAAAATGGGCAATGAAAGGGTCTATTTTTAACTGTTTTATAAAAGACCTCCATTAAATTTTTCATAGCTAATATTTTAAATGAATGAATATGCTAGTGATAAATGATAAATTTTACACAGTATTTTAAATGGGTCCACATGTATGTGATTCATGTGATCTTTCAATAGCCAAGGACATTTCCCAGCCTCTTCCACCATGGAATCAGGTCTAAGCCCAATTCCCCCTTAGGACTGGTTTCTGTTGAGACAGGGAGTGGCAGGAAGTAAGCGCATATGTAATGGCATTGTCACACGTATAGCTAGTCTTGTTTTCTGTTGGGCCTACTCGAAAGAAGGCGATAAAAATTTTAAATTTTTAGAGCGCAGGGTAAGTCCAAGAGACGCCACCCGACGTTCCACAGGTTGCCTCGCTCACCTGGCAGACCCTACTGAAAGCACCACACAAGCGCACGCGCACACACACGTATACACACACGTACACACACACGTACACACACTCGCGTCAGTTCTTCCAGCCCTCCCTCGCTCTCCTTTTTCCACACAGGCATCTCCGGCCCTGGTTCCTCCGGTGCGCAAAGGCGCCCTCTGCAGCCCCCGGCCCCCGGCCCCCCTTAGGGACCAACCGCCACCCCTCCACCTGCCCCCGGTGCCGAGCCACCGCAGGACACCCCTGCCCACCGCGCAGACCTCGCACCGCCCCTCCCGCCCGGCACCCCAAGCCTCCACGGCCCCCTCCCTGCACCCCAGCACTGCCCCGAACACGCCCCCCACCTCCCCGCTTACCGCACATGATGCTGGAGATGCGACCCGCAGGGCGAAGGACGAAGGGCTGGCGAGATCCCGGGCGCACACGCGAGCTTCGGGGGCGGCAGGCGAGAGCGGGGGCCGGAGTGGCGGAGACACAACTCCCACTGGGATGCGACGGCCGAGGCTGCCACTGCTGAGGTAACCACAGCTCCGGCGACGACAGCTTTCTCCGACTCCCCGTCCCAGCCAGCAACCGACCCTGGTCCCCGCCCCTCGAAGCGCACCGCGCCGCCGCCGCACGCCCCATTGGGCCTCGTCTGCGCCGCTCACGTGCAGGTCCCGCCTCCCCGCGCCATCCCGCCCCCCGGGCCTGCGCAGGCCCTGCATCGCTGGCGGCGGAGACGTGGCACCCTCGTGGTTGCATCCGCCTTAGGTTCCTGGAGCCTAGGGGCAAGCAGAGGGAGTGGCCGGGCGGTGGAGGAGGAATGAAAGAAAGCGGAGAATGGAAATGTTAGCAAAGCAAATAGTTCGCTCAGCCTCGACGCCAGCATCGTACGAAACTGGCAGGAGGGGGAGGAAAACAGATTTGAAAAGGAGATCTGAGGATGCAACCATGTCACAGTGGAAAAAGAACAGAAGGCCGAGGGAAAATACAAATAATTGGGTGAGGTTAGGGGAGACAGGTACCAGAATTCTAGACTGCAAAACTCCACTCAGATTGGGCCCTTGTGTCGGGTGACAGGCCATTCCACTCCTGATATAAACTCTGGGTAATGTGTTCGGCTTCTAAAAGCCCTCCACACCCTGGCCACTGCCACCCTAACCCCCAGTTCATTACGAAGAGAGGAAGAATGGAAGGCAGACTGTCGGACCCAGTCCCTGTGCTTAAGAAACTACTGCTCACCTCGGACGCCTCCTTTGAGAGGACTGGAAATTGCTTATCACCGCATTTGACTCGTGAAGGCTTAATTCTATGAATTAATGCACCATTCCTGCCAAGAGAAACTTGATTAAAGATGAATGGTGCGTCTGGGAAATTATTCCCCAGGGAATTTTTTCCAGAAGATTTAAATGGTATCCTTATAGTCAAATGAAGATGGTTATCAGACCTTCATTAATGGCTCTAAACTAGCATCAGATAGACCTATATGGCACACACAAGTCCTGGAGTTCAGACTTCTGTGGAGGTATCTGGTCTGACCTCACCTTAGCTCTTCCTATTTCATCTTCCAGCCCTGGGTACTCCAACAAGGCTGAACAGGTGATTCCCCAACCAGGCCAACATTCTCAAATCTTTTGCACATTTTGGTTACTCTGTGTTGAGTGCCCAACCCATCTTGGTTTATAGGCTGCCTCATGAAAAAAACCTGTCACCCAAGACAGATTTAGAGATGTGCCTTAGCCTCTTTCTTTGATTTGCCTCCTGTAAAGCAATACAATATGCTCCTATATTTTATGATTTTTTTAAAATCTCCCCATTAAGCCATAGAATGCCTTTGTAGAACCAATACCTTATAGGCCCTAGGAAAAAAGGATGGTTCAAAACAGGCATGGTGGTGCATGCCTGTGATTCCAGCACTTGGGAGACTGAGGTAGGATAGCTCCAAGTTCCATGCCAGCCTGGGCTACATAGTGAGATCCTATACCCTCAGTACACATAACAAGATCCTGTCTCAAAAAAATTTTTTTAATTAAAAATTGTTTAAATAATACTTTTTCAAAAGATGGAATCAAAAATATCTTGTGCAGCCATGTATGGGAGCACATACCTGTAATACTAGCACTCTGGTAGGCTAGGGCAGGAGGATCACAAGTTGGAGCCCAGCCTGGTCAACTTATCAAGAAACTATCTCAAAAAGTTTAGAAAGAGTTAAGCATGTAGATAAGTATGAAGGCCCTGGTTCAATCCTTAATACTGCCAAAAATAAAAATGAAAATAAAATTTTTGAATGGGCAAAGGACTTTCCAAAGAATGCTGGAAAATGTGACATTAACTAATCAATATTTCTCACCTAAAACCCCTTTGTTATTTTAGGCCCTTAAACAGGTCCCTACATAACTCTGAGCAAAAATTAAAAAGTGAGCTATTTGTTAGTAGCCAATGCACTTCTTTTTTTAAAATTAATTTTATTGATATATTGTACATATACAATATAAATACATTTATCATTGCAAATTTGCACCTTTAGTCTCTCCTGATTCTTATTATTTCCCCATTCCCCTGCCTTCCCTTCAACCCTTCTAGCCCTCCCTATTTAAAAAGACTTTGTTTCCATTTTTTTCATTTTCTCATATTAATTCCATTCCTTTCTTTCCTTTCTCAAACCCCTCCGACTTCCCCTTCCACTTTGCCCCTTTTCTTCCTATTTCACATTATCTATTAAACCTTTTACTCCTAATTTACACTTTCAGTTTCTCACACTAGAGAGACTTCAGTATTACACGTGTGTCCTATTTATTTCACTTAAGAATATCACCTCAATGTGTATTCATTTACCTACAACTGTCTCTAATTTCTCATTTTTTATGGCTGAGTAATACTCCATCTTATTTTTTAAAAACACATTTTCTTTATCCAGTCTCCAGTTGATGGGCATTTGGGCTGCTTCCAAGTTTTAGCTATTACAAATTGTGCTG